AATAAGATAGCCAGTAGGAACGTTAAATGGCAAAAATAGCCGGTCTGCGGTCTGCCGTCTGCGTTAAGGCGCATAATAAAAGTAATAGTAATATGTTTGGGAAAATTTCTTATATAATGATAATATAATAATAATATAAATATATTATAATGATAATATTTCTTAAATTATAATATAATGTGTTTGAGCGAAACAATATTAAAGATAAAATTATAAAAATTAATAATAAAAAATAATAAAACCTAACCTATGCCAATGGAGGGGGCCGAGGCCCTCCGGCCCCCCCTTAAATACGCCACTATATTTAAAATATACATATTAGTTTACCATCTAAACATGGGGCCGCTAAAAAGTTATTTACCCGGGCTGGGCCGGTCCAAAATTCCAATCCGTCCCTGGCATAAAATATTTATAAAATTAACACTTGATTAATTAAGTAGGTAGTTAGTAAAATTGCAATATTTATAAGTATACACTACACACTTTATGATATTCTAATTTTTCATAAAAAAATATCCACAGTAACTTTTTATGGTGCTTAATGTTTATAGTTTTTCTACAAAGTAGTAAATGCTCGACTCAATATTCCTTATTTAAAATTGATTTATAATGAATATCAAATTATCAATTTAAAATAATATTTAAGTAGAAGAAAATATTTAGTTTCAAAGTACCTAGTGTTTTAACTATAATAATTGGATGTTTATTAACTTTTTTAAGACGAATATATATATWWAAAAAAAAAAAATTATTATAAATATTGTTATTTACATATTTATTCAATTATTCATTTTGAAGTAAATTATAGTGTTACGATAAAATAATGTAAGTACTAACATTGATAATAACAGTCATTATGCAGTATTAATAGTTAATACTATTGTTACTTTACTATAGGTTACCTACTCATTACCTAGTAGCTAATACCCATATATTATACGGTAGATTTTTCAGATTATTATTACTTATACTGTTTTACGTTTAATAGACATAATTTGCAATTATTATTTTTTGGTTGTTAATACAATGCAATTACTGTGATTTTATATATAATTTAAGAACATAAAATAAATAATTATATCTTTAAAATTTAAATATGTTATTGTATAATTTATATTGCAGTACATAAAATGTTTTTATATTTTTTTTTTTAAATTTTGAGCAGAATGAGTTTAATCGTTTAATGGTAAATTCCCATGATATTTTATTCATTATCAATATCATATATATATATATATGTTTTAGAAAAAATATACAGTTGTACTTATATATACCATATTACCATAAAACATTTTAAATTCTGTGCAGAGTTATGAAAGTATTGATTTTACAATGATCTCTATCTCTAAAGCTTTGAAATGTTCACCAATACTTAATAGAAKTTGTATTAGAATTCATTAGACATAATATATTATGATCAAAATATTTTGGTTCTTTTTGTGTTATACTAAGACAAATTAAAAATTTTTTTGTTTATTTTCGATTTATGTTATAACACAATTTTTGTTTGTGAGTAATAAATCTTGACATTCAACACGAAGTCCCTCATAATTTGTCATTAGGTACTACGTTTAAAAAATATCGATAATATACACATTTTTTAAACTTTAAACTTTAAGTTCAAATATTAACGAAATTTATCAAAATCACCGAAATAAGTAACTTTTTACCTTGTAAACAATTAATATTTTTTTTTTTAATTTTTCCCACAACTGTTTTGAAATTCAATGCAAGATTGTTCAAAATCAGTTTTTCATTGACATTAAAAAAAAATTAAAAATTAGATAAGTGAACTTCGCTCAGCTGTACTATAAGTGTCTTGAGGGGTTACTGAAATTGATATGTTACATTTTAATTCAATTATAATAAATAATAATGTTTACGAAAAATGATTCTAAGAAAAGACGGATATATTACTTAGTATATTTTATAAAATTATTGATATTAATGTAATTTATTTTACAATTATATACATTAATAATTTATCACTTTAGAGTTAATTTTGACCAATAAAAATTGTACTTAAAAATTTAATTGTGTGCTTAAAATATATTATATTATAATATACTTTAAACGTTTCAAATATCGATGAATAATATTTTTTAACTACAGCAATATAAACAAATTCGTTAACGACGTTATTCTTCGTTTAAATATTTAATTTCGTGYAAAATTCAACTTAAAATATCAATAAAAAAAAAACTGTGATTATATAATTTTTAGATATTTAGTACAGCACAACTATACAAGGACCGTTTATGAGAAACCTTGTTCTAAATGATCCATCCTAATCTGTGGTGAGCAACAGTGACATCCCTCCTCCCACTAGAGAAATTTTACTGTGAAATGTACGATTTCATTTTACGACGTTATCAGCTTCACATTTTTTTATAAGTAGGTAAATATTGTTGAAATCCATAACTACGATGTAGTAAAGCTGTTTAGCTTTACTGTATAAACACAACTGGGATGTTATTGACAAATTACAATCTTGAGTCTTCTCTATACATTCTTGGCCATAATTTAACAATCATAGTTGAAATTTGCGATAAAAATATAAAATTAATATTAGGTTTTAGGAGTCGTAATTACATTGACAATAGTTTATTACCTTCTGCTGAACATAATTTCACACTTTTACAGCACTAAGGAGGTTTGGKCTTACGTGTATCATTTAAATATATTAACATAAGAGAGATTATTATCTTTGTGAGAGGCACTCATTTGATTTTGATTGAAAAATATTTTAATAAACCTACTAAAGTTTTACTACTTCTGTATAGTTTTGTGTATTATTCCATATTAATAAATTGTATTAAACATAAATTAAACATTTGATAAGTCGTTAGGGTCAAAATAAGCGTAAAAATGTATTGGTTATACTCAGCATAAGCGTGCGCAGGCCTCTTTTTCAGGATATGCAGAAGGCTGACAATAACGCGCCCTGAAAGTTATTTTAGGCTCGTAAAATGCTGATATGTATACACAATTCACAAATATTGAAAAAACCTATTGCTTAATTAAAACAATATTGTAATAAATACCATTACATAATACAAGAAGTATGTATTTCGCAAATACTTGGTAGTTGATAACTGGATGTTTCAATTTTCCAGAGTCGATGTTCGCCCCTCACAGAACTTCAGGGATGCAGCTGCATACCCTGCATACCACCTGCGCACGCCTATGGTTATACTAATAATTATTATATTATATTATATTATATTATACATATATATTATTAACTATTTGGTATTAATCCGTTATAATTCATATTATTGCCGTTGACAACCATTCGCTGTGCCTTTATAACTTTATTGTTCATACTATATAATATATAAAAGTTGTTAAATGTACTGCAGTGATATTACATGTCTAGCACATAAAATATCTTTTAAAATATATAACTAGTGTTTATAAAGTAACGAGCTAAATCCAGGATGGAATATCAGTTTTTAGGAGTTTTATATGTAAATAAACGAGTCGTGTATATTTTAAACTACGGAGTAGAAAACTGTAACCGTTGCACAAGCCATATAAATATATAATAATATGTACAAGCAGCTGTGCAATGTTCCCATTACAAAACTACACGTCTATAATATTCGCGTATATAATATACAATGCGGGTACAGGTTGTTTCACTTGGATCCAACTCATACCTACTACCTATAATTTACTACAAACACCTCCGTACACGGTATTCTGGAATATATTACAATAATGATATGTATATTATCATCGTATGGATTAATATTATGACGTTGTTTGAGTCGTRTGGATTTTTGGTGAAAATATYGAATTTTTGAGCGATCGTCGCCGTTGGTCGTAGGTAGTGCTCGTTATATTATGACGTCATACCTTCAAAATTAATCGTTTATGTGACTATCGAGCATTGCGTGTTAAGACGACGACAGAGGTCGCTCTTAAAATTATTTATCTTCGCTATACTTGCGGGCAATTTGGTTATTGGCAAWTTTTGCACGGTGCCTGTCTGTATATAGTCAGTGCCCAAGGTAACCCGACATAACACTCATAACAGCATATTAAGATCGTTGGGGATGATTGTGATAATATGCTGATCACTCTGTGTATGAGTCAGTAGCACGACTTTACGACCACATGTAAATATCAGCATTTCGTAACTACTAATTCGCTACTTCACACAATATTATACACACAGCACACACACACACACACAATCGTATCCGTCCATCATGAGACCCCAATGAGGGAAGACATGACGGCTTGCAACTATAATAGTACCCCCCTCACTCAGCCACAACCCGTCCATAGGAATTCACTGATACGCAGACGACACTTGCCGGACGCCGTTGACAAACTGTACATCTTATTAACCGATAGTGAATCAGATACGATGAAAAAAACGCGCATATAAGGAGTGGCCGCCCCCGACGACGACGTTCGGCCAAGTCTGAAGCTCAAAACGAAAACGACGAAGAGAATAAAATAGAGAAACGCTACTCGGGAAGTCGGGAAATCGTCGCGCGTCGTCGGATGGCAGCACCGGCGCTCGCGGTGGAGGCGACTCTAGCCGAACGCGTCCGACGCTGGTTCGGCGGTGTGTCTCTCTCCAACCATTACCTCTCTCGCACACTCRCCCCCAATCGCACGTTCCCACTCGTTCACTCGTTCGCTCGTTGTCCTTCTCACTCGGTCATTCCCTATCACTCCCTCGGCCGTTTTCTCTCTCTCACACACCATCGCTCGGTCGCGCTCGCTCATTCCATTCTCGTCACTCTCTCGCTCGTCCACGGTCGTAGGTCCCCTCCACTATTCGAGCGAACACAAACACTCCGCGCTCCCTCCGCACCGTACGGAGTGTACGACGACGTGACGGTCGGCCCCCACCGCCGAGACCGTTCGTTTGAAATATCGTCACACACACACACACCCGAGATACACGTACACACACCCATACACACATACGCGCACGCACACACACGCCAGTGTAGTACACGGTTTTTTTTTTTTGTCCGACCCGTTCCCCCATACCGTCGTCAGTATGGTATACGCTCTCGTGACGTGCGTTACCACAACACCATAAACGTTCACTTTATATCTCGCGATACTGTCGCATTTTGGTTGTGTGCGCGATCGTGATTTGTAGGTCTTATTGATATTGTTTATTTTTCCGTATTGAAAAATTAGTAGTTGACAATAATATTGTCTGTACGTTTGTTGTCTTCACGCCGTTCGCTCCGCCATGAAGTGCGTTGTTATCGTCGTCGTTACCGCCGATTTCGCGATGCGTTGCTGACGCGGCTGCTCGGAGTTCGCGGAAGGAACGCGAGCCAACACCGCCGACGGTGACGACAGCGCGCGAGACATACACAGCGCGCAGTGCACGCACGACGCGTCATGTCGGCGGGGCCGTACGGGACTATCATGGATGAGTTGGGCGGCTTCACGGAGGTGCCCATCTCGTACCGGCACATCTCGCGGTTCCAGCCGTACCGGGTGCAACCGTACCAGGCGCACGTACAGCCCGTGGCCGCTCGCAAGGTCAAGTCGTCGACGGCAGTGGAACGGCGGACCATGGCCGGCGGGTGTCAGTACGACGAGAACCGGCCCACGCACGTGCACCGCCTGTACCCCGAAATACTGGCGTTGATCTTCAGCTACCTGGACGTGCCGGACAAGGGCCGTGCCGCTCAGGTGTGCACTGCATGGCGCGAGGCCGCTTGGTACAAATCGGTGTGGCGCGACGTCGAGGCCAAAATCGATATGTGCCGGTCGTCGCATCCCATGTACGAGAGCCTCAAGCAACGCGGAATCAAGCGAATCCAGGTGCTGTCCGTGTCCCGGTACAAGTGTCTGCGCGAGATCGTCCAGAACGTGCCTAACCTGGTGTCGCTGAACATGAGCGGCTGTTACCACATCAAGGACGAGGACCTGCACCAGATGTTCCTCGAACACCACCCGAACATCACCGAACTCAACTTGTCGCTGTGCAAGCAGCTCACCGACGGCGGTCTCATACGAATCGCCGACACGCTCCGCGGCCTCACCCGGCTCGAGATCCAGGGCTGCTCGTACATCACCAACAAGGGTTTCTCGCACATCGCGCGAAAACTCAAGAAACTTAAGTATCTCAACCTGCGGTCGTGCTGGCACCTGTCCGACGTGGGCCTGTCGCACATCAGCGGCGCCAGCAAGGACTCGACCGACGGCAATGCGCAACTCGAGTTCCTGGGACTACAAGACTGCCAGCACATCACCGACGAGGGCCTCAAGTACGTATCCGAGGGCTTACGCTCCCTGCGCAGCCTCAACCTGAGTTTCTGTGTCAACATCACAGACACCGGTCTCAACTATGTGTCACGCATGAACACTCTGGACGAGCTGAACTTGAGTGCATGCGACAACATCTCTGACATTGGTATCGGTTACCTATCCGAAGGTTGCACCAAGTTGGGCAGCCTCAACGTGTCGTTCTGCGATAAGATCGGCGACCAGGCACTTCTCCATGTCTCCCATGGGCTGTATGGCCTGCACACCCTGTCCTTAGGTTCATGCCAAATATCTGACGATGGCATACTGTACATATCGAAATCGCTTCGCAACCTCGAAGTGCTCAATATTGGCCAGTGCAACTCAGTCACTGACAAGGGTCTGGAGCATTTGTCTGATTCGTGCAAACTGCTGCGGTCCATAGACTTGTACGGGTGCACAAAGATCACCAAAGAAGCCAAAGAGAAGATTCTAAAAATGCCAAACATCAGGAGGGATACGGTCAACGAAGACTTGTGGCAACTTAGATGACCGAAGGAATATTTTGTTTTTTAACATTTCAATATGTGATATATATTTATAATTTAGGTAAGTTAGTAACATATTATGTTTTGTTGAGAATATCGGGTTCTGCCATCATTTCTGTTTGACAACATCTATTCATATTATTATTAGGTATTATTATTATTATTATKATTATTAATTAATTATTATTATTATTATTACCTAGGTATTAATAAATATTACATACATAATTGAGAAATTTGTCAAGCTTTCCTGCAGTTTTTTTTATGTTTTAATGGCATTATTTTTCTATTCTCATGAATGAAATTTTAGCATTTTACTTGAACACAACTTGAACCATGTTTAATCTTGAGCTTATTCAACAAAATGTTACATCATTATTATTATTATTTTGAAAAACTAAATTATAATTCATAGTTAATTTAATTCTCATAGGTCAGATTCCTTTTCGACTTCATTTAGTTAATTCTGTATTACAAATTATATAATCGTTATTTTATTATGTTTTTATCTTAATCTTGACCTTCAATATCACTCTCTAAAGCTGACAAATTTTGCAATTAAACCATCTATCGTTGTTGGCTTGTCTATTATTTTTTTTCTATAGATATTATTCATTTTATGTTTGATTTAGGTACCTTACTTGTCTTCTTTTGTTATAATTCAGAAACTAGTTTCACCCTGTTCCATTTCAGTTACTTACATTTTGTACATCAATGTGATAATTTAGTTTAATGCTCATCATTTAATAAAAAAAATATATTATATAAATAATATAACAAAGTAGAAATCTACTATATTTATTATTATAATATTTTTTTTTTTTTACTTGTTTTTATTATTTTTCTTTGTAATTAAAATTATAACCGATATTTTTGTTTCGTTTACATTTTTATTATTATTATTATTCTTTTTTATTATTATATATAAGCTCAACAGAGATCAGACAATCTATATATTTGAATGTACTTATAAAGAAAAATATTACCAATACATTGTTTAGGTCTCTTTTCTTTTTATATATAATGTTATTTTGTTTAACCGCACGTCCACTATTTGTTGAATAAAAATGCTTTTAATTGTTTGTATAATGTTGAATCTATAAACGATAAAAAAAAAAAAACATAAACTTAAGACTTACCTATGTTTGTTTTTTCGTTTCGAATGAAATTTAGACTAAACGTTTTTTTGCTCAATGTGTGAAGCCAAACGGATTGGTTTTTATTATTTTTATTATTATTATTATTATTATTATTATTACCTATTTTACTTTTTAATTGTGACTTGTGTTCGCGAAAACTATATACATGTAGGTAGGTAAAAATATAAAATAAAAACAACGTAATATTACGAGCCTTGACATTATTCCTAGTTACCACTCACTAGGTGACCTAGATGGAATCCAGATGATTAAAACACTGTAGACTATTGTCATTATGAAAAAAATTTGTATATAAAATATTTTTGTTAAAAAATTGATATATATTTAAGAACAAAAATTATACCTATTAACCGTGGTTTTTAATTATTTGTTATGTGTTTTCTTTTATCCGACAAATCGATCTTAAAATGGTATGTTTAGTGGGTGTTGGAAAACTGTGTAGAGAACAATAACTGCTGGGTTCAGAGGTGGCCAATAAGTATTGTGTTATAGGTAATTTTAGTTCTAATGTGCGTGGAGAACTATCGATTATAATATCTATAATAGTATAATATTTTATTCATACAGGTACAAAAATTGTTTGCACTTTTTTGTCAAACGTAAAGTTGTCTAACAAAGAATTAATTATACTACTGATATACCCACTATTATAGTTTTGATTAATAAGTTTACAGCTGTAGACAAAAACAGGTGAGTGACGGAATGTATTTTCAATGCACCACAATTGTGTCCGTGGTTATGGAAATTCAAAATCAATCATGAGAAATGCGTAACACGCCAGTGGTATCATTTTTATAATTTTTTTTTTGTTATTATTATCGAGCATAAGTTACGGATTATATTATTTTACCCTGCAAAAAAAAAAAAAAAAACAACCCTTCATATTATGGAATATGGATCATATTTATATTCAATTAATTATTGTTCGTTCGTCAATGTTTTTTCATTTATATTATATATATAAATCTACCCTGATGGCTGATGTTCCGATAAATTTGGCTACAGTTACATTATTAGACACGATTTCTTTTCTCGCATCACAGACACTCATAATTTTAAGAATATCATTAAAACGATTGAATATTTGTGTTCAATAATTATAAAAATTGCTATATAAAATACGACACCAGCGTGTGCGGTCTGACAAGAAAAAAAAACCGGAYATCGATATGGAATATAACATGGAGTATTATGTTATGTTCATACTTAAAAACATGTTAAATATATTATTATTTTTTTTTTTAATTTTAAGGAAGATGGAACCGATTTGGATGAATTCATATTATGCGCATGGAATTTCGCAGTTCTCGCGGTTATTCTTTGATATGAATCRCAGCCTTCAGGCATACCTGCTCGGTGTTATAATATTATTTAGGCGAATATAATAATGTATCCGACTAGCCACAAAAATGTCCTAGTAAAACTAAAAAGCAAATTTTTCTTRTCGTTTTTCGTATCTGTCGGCGACGGCCTTACTCATTTGTCGTCTTCAATATATATAATATAATAATATACGCAAATTATGATAGGCGCTCGGAGCTCGTATTCATATATAGGTAAGTACTGTACTACAAAATGGGTCGTAAAAAAACGCTTAAAACTGCAGTCCGTACTCGCGGATTTTCGTTTTTCGATGTTTGGTATGAAATGCCACCGTCTATGTCGATTTCGGTTGAAAACCTTATATAGGTGTGTATCGTCTCATCCGAACGCGTGCTCGTCATCCCTTGTGGTATTAATTGAAAAATTATTATGCATAGAAAAAATAAAATTATTTTTCAAAACTATTTAGCATCACGCAAGCCTTTTTTGTATTTATATTTTGCTTTTTCGAAAAGATTTGTTAAATAATATATTCTATACTTTTATAATATTATATATGTGCACATACACACACACACACACACAATAATAATAGTACTCCTATTATGCGTAATTATAATGATTAAAATAATGGGAGACCGGTGGTGGTGTGTGTGTGTGTGGCAGGTTGAAACGGTCTTTGTGTAGGGTAGGAGTGGGTGGGGGATGGCATGTTGTGTCGGT